ATAAATCTTATTAAATTTACTTCTAATACTAATTTAAATAAAAATTATAGAATTTTAAGTTATAAAAAGTTATTCTATAATAATAATCTACTTAAAGTTATAAAAAATAATAAAGATATTTATATAGTTTAAAAGTATTTAAAAGCTTTATATAAGTATATAGGTTTCTTTAGAGAAGAAGTCTTATTTATTAAGGTAGCTAAGGATATAGTTAAACTCTATGTTAATATTATCTAAAGCTTTCTTAGTAAGAGGGATAATATTACTACTTATAGGGGCTTCTAGGAAACTTATTAATAGAGTTATTAGAATAATATACTTTTAGTTTTCTTTAGATTATTCTTTAAATAGGAGCTTTTTATTAAGTATACTAAGGTTAAAGTTATTCTAAATATATTATATGTTATTTATAGAGATAAGGGTGCTACCTAGCTTATACTTAGCGAACTTAAGTACTTTACGTAGTATAAATATTATAAAGGGTGAGGAAGAGGAAGAGGGAAGGGTATAAAGCCCTACCTATAATAGTAGAGTTTTTATACTTCTAGTTATGAGAACCTCTTAAGATAACCTCTTTAGTTAAGAAGTTATCTCTCTTATAGTAGTATTCACCTCGCTAGAAGGTTTAGTAAAGCTACTAAGCTATAAAAGCCTTAGTAACCTATTTAGCCCTAATATAATTAGCCCTACTATATATAGCGCTACTGCCGCTAGCCTTATACTACGTAGCTAGCGCTATTACTATTCCGCTAGTTTATTCAGCTAGGGCGCGCGTTTAACTTTATATAGTAATATTTAAAAGGTTTACCTACTAATAGGAATATATAGGGTTTCTATACTATTTTCCTTAACTAGTAGAGGGTATAGGTTAAAATACCTATATAGTGTTTCTAAAATTATACCTATATATAGAGTGAATTTTACTATAGTCTTTTTATAGGGGGGCTGCGTTATAACTATAAACTTAAAGGTAATAGAATTATAAAAACCTTATAAAACTATATTAAATATCTTTAAACCCTTAAAACTTATAATAACTATTTAGTTATAATAATTAATAAATATAAGTAGTTAATAGAAGAAACCTAAAATATTAAATACTAAAAACTACTTCTTATTATATAGGTTATTAATAATATTATCTTAAGATAGAATAAA